TTTAATTTTATCCGAACGTTTTGAATCTTCTAAGTTTATTAATAAATTTATTAATACTCATGCCAGATTCGTATTCAGCGACCTCAAAAACCCCCAAAAAAACGAGTTCTAAGCAAATTCTGTTCATTTTTTATTTTCGCGTCCGCCATATCGGATCCGACATTTTCAATTTTGAAACTCTGATGGCAGATTCGTATTCAGCGACCCCAAAAACCCCCGAGTAACGAGTTCCAAGCAAATTCTGTTCATTTTTTATTTTCGCGTCCGCCATAATGGATCCGCCATTTTGAATTTTGCAAATCTGATGCCAGATTCGTATTCAGCGACCCCAAAAACCCCCGAGTAACGAGTTCTAAGCAAATTCAGTTTATTTTTAATTTTCGCGTCCGCCATATTGGATCCGCCATTTTGAATTTTGAAAATCTGATGCCAGATTCGTATTCAGAGACCCCAAAAACCCCTGAGTAACCAGTTTCAAGCAAATTCAGTTTATTTTTAATTTTCGCGTCCGCCATATTGGATCCGCCATTTTGAATTTTAAAAATCTGATGCTAGATTCGTATTCAGCGACACCAAAAACCCCCGAGTAACGAGTTTTATGAAAATAGGTTTGAAATTTCATTTGAAATACTTTTATTTTATAAATTATTACAAAAAATTGTTATTTATTATTAAAAATTATAAAAAAAAATTTCAAAAAAGTAATTGTAAATATAGTTTAGAATCTAATTTGTAAAGAAAAAAAATTATCATCTCAAAAATTAGTAAGGATAAGTAGAAAATGAATTTTTTCTGAAAAAGAAGCATTATTTTTTGTTATTTATTTGTTTATAATATTTTTATTATTAACAAATTGTGAATCAACAGTTTTCTTAGACTTGTTCAGGTATGAGGAACATGCCCGGAAAAAAAACCCTAAATTTATTAATAAATATGCCATAGAAATACTGAAAACTGAGAAGGAAAAGGTGGGTCGCTGAGAGACCTACTGTGACGCAAAGGGTTAATTAGTCTTTATTGACAATGAACGAAATTTTACTAAAAATTAATTTTTATCATTCATAACCTTTAAAAACATGAATTTCTTACTAATTCCCAAACAGTTGGCAACACCACGTTCGTGACGTCAGCGCGTACACGTCCACGACAGACGACAACATCCAGACGTGCTTATTGTAGAACCGACTTGAAAAGTTCCCCACTACACCTAACGGAACGTTGCGCTCCTGTATATATGACTATACGGTACGGAGTTTTGCAATACTTCGTGAGCATGAAGCGAGCGAAGCTCGGCAAGTGAAGTAGTAGAATAGTGGGGCTGAATTTCGTGGGTACTGCAGTCCGTCGAAAAATACACTTTAAATATTTATTTTTAAAACGTTATACTGTTGAAAGTAATTTTGCTTTGACCACTTTTTAATTTTTTTTCACTGTTTCGTTTCGAAATCGAAATTTTTATATTCCAGGACAATTGTGCTTTCAATGTATGATGTGAATTCTGTTCATATAATCTTAATTTTAATGCTAAAAGAGGACCGAATTCGGTGGACGAAAAAAGATTTAGTCAAACGTCCCAATACGGTTTTTATACAAATCCGTATTGGCTCATGCTGACTCCCAATTCCTAAAGGCTCCACTCAATACTTTTTTTACTGTGTTTTACATAAAATTAATTTTTATTTTGACGTCAAAGTTTATTTAAAATGAAAACTAATTTGGTGATGGAAGTTATTTTAGGACGTCCGTATATCTCCGTAATCTAAAAAGTTTAAATCGTAATTTTATCTAATTTTAAAGTTTCAAATGGTAAAATAACCTAAAACATCTACTTAATAAAATGAGTTTATTCTAACATTTATTTTCAGCAAGTAAGAAAATTATCTAATTCGTATTTTCTATAATCGTAAGCAAGTATAAATTTTTTGCACTCAAATTTTCAATTAATAAAATAGTTGTATAACCCAATGTCTGTTTCTCATAATTTTATCATTACCTAATTTTAAAGGGTATTAGGAGAGAGTGGGGCAAACCGGCCATAGTAACGGTTTTTTTACTCTTGTAATAAAAGGAATAAACTGATTTCATTTTTCGATGGCTTGTTTGAAATATTATTTAATTGCGCAACTTTTTCCCAGAGACACCTATACTTTATCTTTTATTGTTTAGTTGCTGTGTTCACTTTTAAAAAATTTGCAAACTGGCCGGTTTGCCCCACCCCCTGGGGTAAACCGGTCACCTAGATTTTTTATCTATAATATTGCATTTGTATAATCTACAATAATAAAAAACATAAAGGATCACGTGAATAATGGTTGTAATAATGTAAATAATATTGCAGGATTAAATTTTAATTAAATAAATAATTTTAAAAAAAAAGTGTTTGAATTTATGAGGAAAACAATATTAATGGGTCTAATTCTCATTGGAAGAAAATTATTTTTCATTGATAGTAAATATTTTAATGAAAAAAACATTCTAATTAATAATAATTTTCTTGAAACTCTGATACAATGAGAACATCCTATGGCCGGTTTGCCTCACCGAAAACTGGCCGCTTTGCCCTACAGGCTCATTTTGAGAATAATTATTTGTTAAAAAAACGCTTTGCACATTCATCAAAGTTTTCGATAGTAAATATTCCTGAGGTGTGTACCTTCAAAACCTAAGACCTAATATTTAAAAATATTACACGATTTCCTCAGAATTTCCTTAAGAAAAAATTCGTAAAAGTGTAGAAAAAAACTAAAAAAAAAAATTTTGCTCCCAGCGTTGCACAAACAAAAGTAAAAAATGTCAAATTGAAAAAATATGGTATAGTACACATGGTTGTTTCAAATTTCTAAATAGAACTTTTGACAATTTTGCTATTTCGGAGATATTTACACTTTGCCGGTTTGCCCCACTCTCTCCTATAATTTTTATTTGTAAAAATTTCAATTTAACGAAATTTACTTAAATAAAATTTAAATAATAATTACTAATAAAACAAATAATAGGTGTTAACTGAAAAAAATGCTTTGAAAAGAACTGACAAACATCCTAAATTTATGGAACTCTCTCCCTCGTTCTATGACAAATATTGAAAGTCCAAAAACATTTAAACTACAATTATATAAATATTTATTTTCGTTGGATGTATAGAGTATATGGAGTGTATCTTGATTGGTATGTCATCTGTGTGTGAGTTGCTGTGATAATTTGTAAATCAAAGTATTTTATTGTCTGCATGAGATGTATATAGCTTTGTTTAACTTTATACGATATAAATGTTATTAATTACTGTATTTTTAATGATTGTCCTCGTGGTATTTACCTAGGACATAATAAAATATATTCTATTCTATTCTATTCTAACATCCATGGTTGGGGATTTTGGTTTAAACTAGCAATAAAGTGAGTTTACGTTATACATAATCTTAGATAAAACGAGACGATATCGATATACATACTATAAGTTTGAGAAGACCGAGACTCTAGGCGATATTTTAAAAAAAAAAAATAAGAATATTATTGAGACTTTATTCATTAAAATATAATTTATTAATTTATGTAATTAGTTAACACACTAATATTTTCTACTAAAAATTTTTGTTATATTTTTTGTTTAGTAATTTTCTCGAATTTAAATGTTACGCTATATGCGAGTAATCAATGAAGTCAGGTTTTTAGACTTTTGTTGTGTTTACTCTCTAAATCTGAATAAGTAATTTAGTAATAGTTAATAGTCGATATAACATTAACACTTATTCATTTTTAGTAAATTAGATACCTAATAGCAATTAGTAAAATCCTATTAAAATAAAAAAAAATACTAACAATTACTTCTATTAACCAATTTCTACTTATCAAAAAAGGGGAAAAGTCGTGCAAGAAAAATATTCTAACAATGAGTAAAATTTTACTGTTTATTAGTAGAATTTTACTAATTCAGATGTGAAATGTATATGTTCCTAGACGAAATGTAAAAAAATTGGATCTCGCAAAATTTTATTGACAACAACATTATGTTTATACAATTAAGAATTATTGAAAATAAGTTAAATAAAGAATTAGATAATTTAATTTGCATTTTTTAACTATTTATATTTTATGGATCATTTTCTTTCACGCAACTATAAATTTCTCAAATTAGGGTAAGTAGATTAATTGAGACTACATTATTCGAGACCGAAACATGAAATTTTAATATTTGAGCCGCCGGAAAGAAAAATCACATATAAAATTTATTCAGTCGTTTTTATTGGCCTATAATATCTAAAAAATTAATGTTTCAAACATAAATTTTAGCCAAATTTATCATTTGAAAACAAAAAATAAATTAAACTGTTTGTATTTTGCACTATGGTTTTGGTGCGCTGTGGTATAATTTTGGGCGCGTGACTGTACAAAATGTTGGTAAGCAGCTCACCAAAGTAGTGGGGATGCCGCCTTTGGTTTGCATCTGAACAACTGTTGAACTGCCACGCGCCCAAAATTGTACTGCAGCAACCCAAAAGTATATAGTCCTACAGCGTGCCAACATAATGGTCAAAAGCAGTCTATCGAAAGTCTGCTGCAGACAAAAAAAGGTCCTTCAGTGTATATTTTTATTTTCTACACGGAGAGAAAAATCAAGCGTTTGTAGTATGGAGCTCTCCTATGGTAATTTTGTATGGAGGTTCCTGCTTAAAGGTACAACTTTTATGCTCATAACGTAGAAACTGATACAAATACAGCACACATTTTACGCCTATTGCGCACGTGCATTCTTTTACGAAATAAGGTTAACTGCTCATAATACAAAAGCTTGATTTTTCTCTCTGTGTAATCTCACTTTTTTCGATGCATATAGAAGAAAACTAGGAGAAATCATGAAAAAACAATTCTTTTTTACGTAGCCTTTTTAACGCTGAGAAAATTGGAGGTTTGGAGTCAACATTTGGAGGGATAAAGAATTTACATTTTCCTTGGTGGAAACTGAGTTTATGTCATAAGTAAAAATTATAAATCTTAAGGTATACCTTCCTTATCCAGGTTATCCTACGCGGAACGAATAAATATGGAAAACAAACTTCAAAATTCAGTGCATTAGAGCCATTAAAATAAATGCGTGGTGATGTTTGCGCGAACTTCCTGCGCATCAGCTAGTTTACACTTTCTGTGCACCTTTTAACCCTCTGTATATAATAAAACAGAATATACAAGAAGATTTCCTTTATTAATTCAAAAATCATTTTAGAATGACTATAAATCTCTCTTAATAATAAAGTGAAACATACACTTTTAAACCTCTGAATTTGAACCTTCAGTTTTCTCAGTGAATACATGTAAATCTAACTATATTCAGGTATATGTGACGTTCCACGACGAAACACGACTTATTAGTACCAAAAAATCAATTTTTAGTTTTTTTATGCCAATCGATAGATTTTATATTGCTTTTCCAAATGCAAGAATCAAAAGTTGTAAATGTCAATTACTTTCGACAATATAACGTTTTAAGGACGTTATATTTTAATATGCATTCCTTCTTTCCGCTTTTACTTCAATCGCTCACCCTGTGAAATAATTCACATTTGAAAGCTAACCTCGTTTTCTCGTGGAATTTACATACTTGTAATTTTTAAAATGTTCTACAATTAATTTTTTTTTTTAATATTAGAACTTGTCTTGATAATTTTATAGTATTTACTAGCAACATTCCACATTTAATACCGGTTTTAAGTATATAGTTATTTTACTTAATGATAATTATTCAAAACTTATTTATAAATATCCTTTAACAATAAAAACTTACACCTCGACTTACACTCAATGGTTCAGTTTGTATTCCATTTTCATGTCCTGATTATGAGGTGGCTCCAATGTCACTTTCCATCTGCAAATATTTAAAATTATAAAAGCCACACTCTTATCACGAAGCATCAAATCTTTCCAAACATTTACACTTATTTTTCACTTAAACTTCCCGGAGAAGTAGCATGTTCGATTTAACAAATTTGCTATAATCTGAGAATACAAAGAGTATGCCCGCACGGAAAAATTAAACCTTCTTTTGACCCTCCTTTTTTAAACCTCTTTAGAACCTTCAATACTCTCTAAATCTGAATATGTAAAAATTCACATATTTGTAAGTAAAGTTATAAGTCGGTCTCTTGTTCAATAAGTGCAAATACAGTGGAACCTCGATTATCCGAACCGAAAATAATTTTATCTTAACTTTTTTTTCGACCTCCCGAATCTTTGAAAGCAAAATAACGAAATTTATGTCAAAAAAATTTTTTAATTTGTTTACTGTACACGAAGAAAAATTTATTCATAATGATTACAATAGTCTATATTACTGTTCGGATATGTGACCACTTTTTGTGATGATTACTATAGCTGTTGTAAGGAGTACAAACATGAAGGTATCCCTTACAACAGCTATAGTAATCGTTCCTACTCAATTCTTAAAACATTACATAGTCTTCGTAATTATTCCAAAAAGTGGTGACATATCCGAGCTGTAATGTAGACTATTGTAATCATTAAAAAACAATTTTTTTCCGTGTAATTATAAAAAAAATTTTAATTTCTATTATTCCAACTTTCGATTATCCGAAGCCAGACTTCAAGTTTAGAGAACAGTATAAATATCTATAAAAATGCAGAGTCACAAATTTCAGTTTACCAATTTCCCTGACAGTTAATGTAGGAAATTATTTGCTGATGAAGAATTTTAATTAAGGAAGATTTCGACTATATCAGCAATTAGTGACATCTATTAGACGTCAATTGAACTCTTTGGTTTAGAGTCAGGTGTTATTCTTAAGATAATTATTCCGATATGGTTGTCGGTAAATAATTACTACATTAACTATACAGCTCTTCGACTAGTGTATGGGCTTGATCTGAGATTATAAGAAACGTGAACGTCCAGGCTGTGTTGGCATGGTGCATTGGTAGGCGTTAGTCCCGCGAAAGGCAGCTATTAACTGGGGTTCGAGTCCTCACAGATGCACAGTGCAGTCGTTCACGCAGCTTATTTTTTCAGATCAAAAATTAAAATTCAAAAATATAATTATTTACCGACAACCATATCGGAATAATTATCTTAAGAATAACACCTGACTCTAAACCAAAGAGTTCAATTGACGTCTAATAGATGTCACTAATTGCTGATATAGTCGAAATCTTCCTTAATTTTAATTTCCCTGACATTTTACTAACATTAAAATTATTTTTCCTGACAAAATTCTTCTTACAGAAAAATATGAAAGTTTATGGAAAGTGAGTAAAATTTATGAAATTTAATAATTTCTGAACATAACAATTATAACCTTTCCTGAATTCAATTATTTTCTCTAATTTCAATTTAATTACTGTAACTGTCCATGTTTTTTTATTAAGTTTATTGACGTGAGTATATAATATTATCAAAAAATAAAAATAATCAAATTTTTGAAGAATTTTAATTACAACTATTACCATGATTTATCCGAAGTTTTAATAAGTCCAAAAAAGTACATTTTTATTTGATTTATTCGAAGATAACTGCATATTAAAAAATTATGATAAAAAATTATAAGAATTAAGTAGTTTTTAAAATATTTTAATGTGATTTTTCGAAAACAATTGAATTTCTTAAAAGAATTTCTGTAATATTTAAAAAAACTAATTCATTTCTTGGTGAATTTTAATTAAATATTTTGAACATAATTTTTTTTTCCAAAATGTTAAAAATAATTTTAAAATATTATTTTTTGTATGTATTTGAATTTTGAAATATGTAACTGAATGTACCAGGGATCGAACCAGTGAAAGTATTAAAAATACGGACATTACGGACCAAAAATGAAAAATTACGGACCATTTACGCACAAATCTGACAAAAATACAACCAGTCCGAGTCAAAGAAGAGAACATTTTACTTAAAACTTTAAAAATAAAAATTTTTCATAAGTATAAAACATGAAGTTTTTGATCGAGTCTTCAACTCGTAGTGATCGAAATCTTCATGTTTTATAATAATTATTAAAAATTACAGAGAGATAAAGTCATTATTTTCTATTATAAGAATATTATTTACTGTTACTTTTTCAAAATTATTTTCATCATTTCAATTCAATTATTATTTTTTACAAATAATTTGATTAATTAATTATTAATTAATTATGTTATGTTTGAATTCGATTGTTATTGATTTAGTTATTATTAACTTGAAAGATTTTATAATTTAATCGAATTCGGACTTAACTGTATTAAAAAGGATTTTTTAATAGTCTTAATTCAAATAAAACACTGTTATTAAAAAATTAGGATTCCCCCTTTAAGTTTGTTATTTGTTTCAACAACTCCGATTAGACGGTATTTTTAATTTGAATGAAATGAAAAGGTAAAAAAGGTTGAAACAGCTGAGCACGCTGTAATAAAACACTTCATAGGTAGAAATTATAATATAAAGATTTATTACAGATTTAGAATAAAAAAATGCACTAATTCTAATTGTTCATTTGAAATCCCAATTAACGCATAGTTAAATTGTGATAATTATTCAAGTAGATACCCTTTTTATGTAAATCAATTATATAAAATCTCTTAAATCGACAAATTAAAATAACAATAATAATATTCCCATCTATAATTAATATATAGACCAATATTGATAGTTGTATTATTTTTATGAAGAAAATATTTAAAATATAATTTGTATATATATATATATGTGTGTCGTGTATAGAGTGTTTAAATGTTCAAACTCACCAAACTTACGTAGTTTATTCTTTTTTTTTTAAAGGTAAGAGACAAGGTAAATCTCTTATTTCACTTAGTAGATGATTCACACCTATGACAATTCTTATAATCCTCCTTACTGATTAGTCTTATTTCTTATTTCTTTCAATGATTTTTAGTTTTTCCTTGATATTCTTTTAAATATTCTTATTTTATACAGAATTATTGCAAAAACGTTTCAAAATTAATTTTAATATTTCCAAAAACGGGATCACCGAATTGGTAACTTGTAACTAATTCTGATACTATTTAGACAATATGAGATTACAAAAAAAATCTTTAATCCACAAGGTCGAAGGTTTTATATTTGATACCCTGCCTTTTAAATTTTAATCACTTTAAATGAACTTTCTTATTAAGACACTTTATTCGACAAAAATTTCAATTAGTTATTGTTTTTCATTTAATTGCTTCACTATTTTGTCTTCTTACTTTTCACCGTTTTATTTTCTTTTTAATTTAACTATTATTTAATCACTTTTGTATATATATATTTCTTTTCAATAGATTTATTTCTTTTATAATTATAATATTTTTTATAATTTACTCTGTAAATTTAATTAATTCAAAATTGACAAACTCAACCCTTACTTCGGGGATAAAATAACAAAACCTCCGCCTTAATGCGGGAAAATCAAATACAATATTATAAACATCCGCACTGCGGGAAATACTCATTAAAACTCCTCGATAATTCCAATTGAACCAACAGTCACACCCTGGAATCAGTTTAAAATCGGTAAGGTGGGGGATTTTGTTGCACACGGCCCGTCAAATACCGCTGTTACCATGCAAGCTTTTTGCAAGCTTGCAAATTCCTTTAAGGTGGTCTGATATAGTTCAATGATCTGTACTTTATATTGCCATTGCAGGTGTGCATTCTTTCTATTGGTATTTTTACCAAATACTTTCTAAGATCTTTTTACAGTTGACTTTTTGAAGAGTCAACAAATTTCAACAGTAGTATTTCCATTGTCTATTTTAATTTGTAATATTAATCTTTTAAATATAATTTACTTTTATTTAAAAAAATTCAGGTACCGAAAATCATTGAGGTTTTTTTTTTTTGACAATTTTTATAAAATTGTTTGATGATTTTAACCACTTAAATCTCTTTTTTATGATACTATAAGTATAATTTTGTTTACGTGTACTTAATCTTAATTACATAATTCCCAAAATTTTTAGATTCTATATAATATAAATATTTTAAAAATAATTTAAAATAAATAAATAAAAAAATTCGTTACGAATTCAATCGTAACAAATTAAATTATTAATTAATTTAATTAATTCATAATTTAATTTTTAAATTCATTTGTTTACTTCAATTTTACAAAATTTCAATTATTTGGAAATTCTTCAATTAAATATATATTAGAA